CGGCTCCTTCGTGCCGCCCGCGCTGCGCTGTGCCTCGTGCTCTGCGCACACGCACCTGGTGCGGCCCCGGGCGGTGGCCGAGGCGCCGGGCTTGGCCCAGGCCTCCGGGGAAAGCTGGCGCCGATGTTCCGGGGCGCTTTCAGCCGGGCCACTTCCCTGGCCGCGGGGCTACCTGCGAACCAGCCCTGGGCTGGGCTACCAGCACTCCTGACCCGGCCATCAAGCACAGGCGGACCTGGCAGGAGGATTACCTAAGGGAAGCCTGCAGAAAGCCTCCCGGGAAGAGCACAACGGGATGGGCTGCGACCCGAGGGGGAGAGGAGGCTGCTGTGGCAGTGGGAAGGGCTCTGGGGACTGCGCCACATCTCCACACCCCGGTGTGGGTTGGCGTCTCTGAGAGAGGAGCAGGATCTTGCTTCGTTTTTAAGTTTGGACTTGTTGGACTCTTTTTGGAACGTGGCCTTTCTGCTCCTGTGCCTCTGAGCTCTGTTTTCTGTAGCTGCTCTTGAACTGGGAGCTTGTGTGGGAGTGTAGGTGGACAACTGCTGCGGCTTGACAGCAGTGTGGGGGCCCCCATCCTCTGCCGGTGCTGCTGTTCCAAATCTCACCTGGGAGAGACAGGCTGAAGGAGCGAAATAAAAAGGAAAACCGTCGTCTCTGTCTGCTACCATGACTCCCCTGGGCCCCGGTGGCGCAGGGTGATGGGAAAGCCCAAGGGCTGGGGGTTTACCCTGGAAAGTTGGGCCAGGCCCTGAAACCCTCGGGTGGGTACCTGAGGCACTGGTACATGGTGAGACCTCAGGAGTGGCTGAGCCTAGAGAGGAGCTCAAGAGGAAGAGAGACACCCACAACCCGCTCTGTGCCCCCTGGAGTGGGAGCAGGCATTGTCTGCAGGCAGGCTAAGGACAGGGTGGGCCTCCTCTGTGGACCTCTCATGAAGCTGCTGCCTGCCGTGAGCCGAAGTGGGGACTACCGTGAAAGGAGAATTTGATCGGGGAAGGAAGCTGAGGGCAGGGCCAAGCACTGAGGACCAGGAAATCCTGCTTAACCCCAGTGACAGGCAGAGCTCTCGGGAACTCTGGCCAGGGCCTCTGTGATGAGTTAGAATCCCAGAACGACTACGGAGGGGTTGAAGGAGGAGTGTCCTCAGGCCAAAGCTGGGTGGCAGTGGGAGCACAGGACCGCCCCTTCCTGAGCATGCTGAGAGCCGAGCTGCATCGAAGGTGAGCCAGGATCTGACCTGGCTCAGGTGGACAGTGCCAGTGTTGTAAATGCTGCTTGCTGGCCTGAAGTGTCCCCAGAGGGCTGTGGGCTTTTTGGCTTTTGGGGAGCTGAGCTGATGTCAGCCGAGCAGAAGGGTTACATATAGTCAGCTCAGAATTGGGGGTGCTGCAGAAGCTCTGTGGGGGTTCCCCACAAGGATGCCCAAAGGCAGACCCAGGTGGGAGAGAGGTTTGAGTTTTTTTTGAGAGTGGAGAAGTAAAGATGTCTTTGCTTTCTGCAAGCCCCAACGTTTCTGGCATGGTTGGTGCCTTGTCCCAGCCACAGGACTTGGGGCTTCCGATTCCCCGGCCCAGGCTGTGGCACAGACCGCAGGGAAGCTTTGCCTCTAAGTCTAGCTGGATGTGGGACTCTGCCCCCAGAGCCCAGCAGTACCACGGCAGCCAGTAGAAAAGAAGAGCCAGACCTGCTTGGGATCCGACCCCTCCTCTGCTGCTTCCTCATCCTCTACTTCCTCATTTCTGACCTAGACAAGGGGCGCTGTGACAGTCACATGCTTCATAACTTCCCATTTCTAGCAATGACAAGATGTTCACAAATTATTACTACATATTTATTTGCTGTTCCACTCTTGTGATAGACCAGCCTGGACAGTGCTTCAGCCACTCGTTGGTTTGTTTGCTTGTTATAGGGTCTTGCTATGTCCAGGCTGGCTATGAACTCACTATGTAGCCCACTGTCTAAGCCGGCCTTGAACTCGCAGCGGTCCTCCTGCCTCAGCCTCTTGAGTGCTGGGATTACAGGTGTGTGTCACCACACCCGACTTTAGCCTTATTTTGACCTCAGAAACTTATTCTCTGGAAACATAATAAGATGATAAGCATCCTTTTTGCCTAAATTCTTGGACTAAAAGATTCTTCTTGCTCAGCCATACTTCCAGCCTTAGCTAGGGGTGCCCCCTGCAGGCGGCAACATGTTGTGTGACAGATGAATCGGTCCCCAGGAGGGATGTGACTCCCTTCCTCTCCTAGCTTATTGATCCTGGGCACATCACTTAGCTGCTTTGAACCTTGTTGTTCCCATATATATAATGGGCTAAGAGAAGTACTTATAGGATGTTGCACAGACCAAGTGAGATAACTTTTTTTTTCGAGACAGTCTTGCTATGCAGTTCAGGCTGGCCTTGAACTCACTGTGTAGCCCAGGCTGGCCTCAAACTCACAGTGACCTTCCTGCCTCAGCCTCCTGAGAGTTGGGATTACAGGCATGCCCCACCTTGCTGGCTTGAGATAATGCATTGAAAGCACTTAGCGTAGTGCTCAGCCCACATAAGCATTCATTGAGCAGAAGCTATTAAGACATACTCTATTTACAAGGTTGTGTAAGGCGTTCTCTCAGAACTGGAAGGTGTTTATGAGCTATGGTATCTGCAACACGGCATTTTCATCGTTTTATCAGGCCTGAGGGGACACAGCCACGTATTTGCATGCTGATGGGCATTTGCTGAGTACTCTTAGGTGTTTTTGGCACACACACCGTGTGTGATTATGCAGATGTGTGGATGTGTGGATATTTGTGTGCACGAACATATAAGGATCAGTCTATATCAGACCTCCTGAGGTTTCTTCCCTGCCCACCCTTTCCCTTGCAACATGTGTGCCCCTCCCCTCTCCCAGCACTGGTCGCTCAGAGTGCGCAGTACGGGCGTGGGCAGAGGTAGATGAATGCTGGCATGGACACATCCTGGGCACTTACTGCTTTTTTCCTTCTCTGGTTTCTCCAGCCGGGCTTGATGTGGGCCAGGCCCTGAGCAAGGGGGCTGGGGGGGGGGTGGGTACACCTGCCCGCTTCAGGAGCTCGCCACCCAGTAGGGAAGAAGGAACAAGAGAGGAGTTGCTTTCATCAGATCCCTATGTCCCCACCAGAGAGCAGCGAGACTAGCCAGCTGTGGGTCAGAAAAACACCAACCCGATTCACGCGTCGGCTGGGCCTGCCTACCGCTCAGATCTGCAGGCCTGCAAGCCAGTGAACGTGGAGCTGGCTGTGGAGTCCAGCACCCTTTTGCAGGCTGCAGTTGGCCCAGTTCCTGTAGGAACTGCTCAAGTTTCCAAGATCTTCATGTTAACAATCCCAAACCCAGTTCTTCTGTGGAATGATTTTGTATGTGTGTGTGCTGTGCCTGGGAGGAAAACCAGGGTCTCAGGAGTGCTAGGCAAGCGCTCTAATGCTGAGCTGCATGCCCAGCCCCTTTGGAATGAACTTTAAAAGAAAATATGTGTTGAGTCAATACTGTGCAGGCTAAAATCACTTTGTCGGATGAATCTCGTCCTCGGGTCTCCACGTATGACCCAGAGGGAACCTGCTTGGGGCAGCTGCAGACCTGCACAGCTGGCTGGCTTGGACTCTGCAGCCTGGAGGCCACACCTTCTGCTTCTCTTCCTCCCGGCCCTCTGCAGCTCTGGTACCCAACCCCAACTCCGGTCATTCACCCCCATTCCCACCAGTCCACTAGGTGGCGCTGAAAACCCAGCATCTTACACTGGCTGAGCAAACTGTCCCTAAGTGCCCAACGCCCACCCATCCAGGCAACCTCATTGCCACGGGTCACTCTGAGACTTCTCGGCTTTTTCTTTTCTCTTTTTATCAAGTCAAAAAGCCTTCCTGATGTCTGGTTCATTCTGTCTTCTAGGCCAGTGCTGTCTAGTAAAAGTATAATGTGAGCTACCTTTTTAACCGGAAAATTTCTACTAGGCATATCCCAAAACAGTATCAAGAAACGGCTGAAATTAATTTTAATTACATTTTATTTAGCTCAATAGATCCAAATATCTTTTCAACATGAAATTGATATAAAAAGTATAAGTGAGATATTTTATATTATCCCTCTTTCTTTGGGTACCACGTCTTTAAAAACCTGTGTGTTTTACATACACAACACATTACCACTCTGGACTGGCCACATTTCAGGTGCTCAGTAGCCCCATATGGCTCAAGGCTACAACCCAGGCCCGGGAGCCACAGGCCCTGCAGAGGGTCTGGGTCTGTGCATCAGAGTGATGACCAAGAACCCGGCAGTGTCTGGGACACAACTTGCCCCCCTCGGAAGGAGTCCTCATACTTGAAAGATATCAGCGTGTTTCTGGAAATTCCTGGGCAGGGGATCCCAGAGCACTCTCCTGGTCGTATTCCTGGCCTGGGCTCAGTAAGGGCCACCCTGAGGTATGAGAGGAGGAGGAGGAGGAGGCACCCTGCTGGAAGCTCACATTTTGCAAATAACAACAGATTTTTCCTTATTGAGGTAAAAATTTTAACTGAATACAGTTGAATTTACCAAATCTGAAAATTCACCCTAAATTGCTCTGCCACTGAGCTACACCCTCTGCCCTAGAAGCAGAATTTCTGAAGCCAGCTTGATGCACAGCCTGAAACCACTTCTTCCCACTGACATAGCTGATTTTGTTCCTCAGTAGCCCCACTGCCCGACATCTGACTGAGATACAGTTTGAGGTGATCCCTCTTCCCGCTGCTGGGCCTCGGTTTCTAAACTCTAGTAGCGACAGAGTGGAACTCCACCCCCTCTGAGGCCCTTCCAGCTCCAGTTTCCCACATCATACACGATCACAGAGTTTTGTTTTGTTTTTCTTCGTTTGTTTTGTTTTATTTTTTTTGACACAGGGTCTCACTATGTAGTTCTGGCTAGCTTTGAACTCATTATGTCGCCCAGGCTGGCCTCGAACTTGCAGTGATCCTCCTGCCTCAGCCTCCCAGGTGCTGGAATTACAGGTGTGTGCCACCATGCCTGGCTGACCGTAGGATTTTAAATGATTTTATGACCCTGTAATCCCCACCACACACCACACACCACACACCCTGGTGGCTCCAGGTCACTCTCGTAAAACAAGATAAAAAGGCCAGAGATCCAGAGAAAGGGAGAGAGAATCAGAACAGGCAGCTAGACCCTAAATCTCCTTGGAGCTGGCATCTGCCCTAGTAGCTGTTGAACAGGAGGTCTCCACTGCTGCTCCCTGGCACCATAGAAAGTCCTTGATGGGCATAGAATGGGCAATCCTGCTCCAGCCAGTCCTTTCCCTAGCCCATGGTGTGCTGCAGAGGGCCGTACTGGATCCTCAAAGGGCCACACTGGTGCTCATTTCTCCCCCCTCTTTGGCCTGGGCCACCTCTGGGGCTGATGGTCAGGGTCTGGGTAGGATGTCATAGGCCTGGGGTGCAGCATTTCCCAACAGAGTGGGGGAAGCTAGCGCTTGCTCATAGAAAAATAGCAGAGGTCTCAGTCCCCAAGACAATTGAAAGCACATGCCTCTGTGACCCACTGGGGTTTTCCCCATCTAGAGCCCCAGCCCAGAGGAGCAGGTCCTAGGGCTGCAATGGAAACCAGAGGCTTCCCAGGTCCATCTGTGCTGGGCTGAGCTGGACTGGGCTGGGGCAGAGGCAGGACGCTGCTGGAATGGTTCTCTAGGGAGAGGGGAATTGAAAAGGAAAGACATCTCCAAGGAGGGCAGAGAGGGAGGGAGCTGTGTGGTACACACACACACACACACACACACACACACACACACCCGCCTCCCTGCCTCTGCCTTACTCTGGAGAGAAGCATTCTTCTTCCTGCTCTCTGAGCTTTCTGTTGCTTCCCCGCCCATCCGTGCTGTCAGCAGCGCCAGCAAAGTTGGCTTCAAACTTGAACGGAGCTGAAGGCTTCATCTTCCTGGGAGCTCTTCAGGGGCAGCAGCAGGCCCCCGCCTTTGTACCACACTGGCTTCCCGAAGCCCCCGCTGATCCTGCCAGTGCCCAGCCGGCCTGCTGTCTCCTGGCCAGTGCTTCTGCCCCTGCCTCAGGGGCCCCAGGTCTGGGCTGGGGAATGGTGCACTGAGATCCACCTGGAGCCCTTTGCCCCAGCGTGGAGCCAGAGCAGCCCAAGGCCCAGGTCAACATGGCTAACCCCACGCAACCTCAGTTTTCCCAGGCACAGGGTCTGGGCTCCACCTCATCACAGAACCTGCCTGAGATGGAGAAGCTCCTCACCAACGTGGAGGGCAAGGATGACAAAGCCCTGAATCTGTCCAAGTCCCTCTCTGGGGCTATGGACCTGGAGAAGAATGGCCACAGTCTGCCCTTCAAGGTGATCCCCGAGGTGCACCGGGAGGCCTCGATGCCCGGCTCCCCTTCCCGGGCCAGCTCAAGGCGGGCATCCTCCATCGCCACCACTTCCTTCGCTCAGGACCAAGAAGCCCCCAAAGATTACCTCGTCCTTGCCATTGCCTCTTGTTTCTGCCCTGTGTGGCCCCTCAACCTCATCCCCCTCATCTTTTCTATTATGGTAAGTCCTGCTCTTCATCCAGGGTCTTGGGCTGGGCCCAGGGTCAGCAGTCTCAGGCATGTTTCCAGGCAGACACCAAGCAGGCTGCCCCAGTGCAGAGGAAAGAGAGCCTGGGCTGGGTCAGGGGGTGGAGGAGACCCTTTGCTAGCTCCCAGCTTCCCCTTTGAGCAGGGCCCAGGGGCTGAGAGCTGCTGTTTGTGCTCCTCTTTCATTGCTGCTGCTGGGCATTGCAGCCTGACTTTGTCTCTGTCCCTGCTGGCCTGAGGGTCTTAGGGAGCTGCCTGGAGATAAATTCTGCAGGGCAGAAAATCAGCAAAGTTGGGAGTCTTGTTGTTTGGGGGAGAGTGTGGGCTTTCTCAAAGAGCCATTCCTGAGCAGAGCTCTGTGTCTGCAGACTGCAGCCCTGTGTGCCCAGGAGGGGAGTCTGGCCTCCCCGGGCCACTTGGTCATTCTACCAGCCTCTGCCAGCTGTGGTTTTTAAGCTTCAGCAGCTTCCTTGCTGTGCAGGACGGCAGGCTACTGGGGGTGGGGGGTTCTCCCGAGCCTTCTGGACCTTGTAGTTACACAGATTTCACCATCTGTCTGTAGGCAGGGGAGGCTGGGGCATAGGTGACAAGTGTGAGACAGAACACAGTCAGCCTTGCCAAAGAGGGCATGTGGGCTAGACTTCACTTTGATAGATTGCCCTAGGCCAAGCCGTTTGTGTAGAGCTACTTACAAAGGAAAGGTGTAGAGCTGCTTACCACAGAAAATGTGACTTTTGAGGTCCAGGAAAGAAGGGGAAAGCACAAAAGGGAGGGAGAGAGATGGGCTGGGTGATGCCTTTTAGAATGGGGTTAGGAGCAGGCGAGGCCAAGCTGTGGCCCCCAGGCTCGTCAGGGGCGAAGAACTGGGTGGGGCGCCACTGTCTGCTTCCCCTGGAGTGGCACACTGATGCGTCATCTAGCACCAAGCCCCTAGGAGCTGTGGTCACTCTGGCTGTTCTCTGAGGAAGCCTGAATTGCTTCCAGCATCTTGGTCTACTTCATTAAGACCACCCAGGGAAACTCCCTCCCCCCATCAAATCCAGTACACCTGCCAGGTCATCAGGGGGCGCTGGTAATGCCCTTGAGTACAGAAGAACTTGGCTGGGGCTGGGGACAGGGCTGGGGCTGTAGTGCAGTGGGAGATAGAGAGAAAGAGAGAGAGAGACTGAGCATATGGATATATGAATGAATATTGGATACTGGGCAGGTCCTTCAGAGAAACTTCCTGTGCTACCTGCTGTATTTTGGAACAGCTGGGGGACACAGCCAGGGCCCAGGTGCTGCCAGTGGCTCTGGGAGGATCAAGCTCTTGGTTGCAGGAAAGGGTCCCAGGAGGGGAGACAGGCTTTGAGGAGGGAAATCACATGATGGCTCAGGAGAGAACATTTTCTAGGCTGGGTAGGAGCTACCTTTGTCAAAGGGAACTGGGGCTCAAGACCGCAAGACCACTGAACCTACCCCTGGCACTTCTAGGGCCTTTGAAGGTTCTTAAGTCAGCACTGATGGCTATTGTGCCGGGCAAAGGAATACAGCACTAAACCAGCTGCCATGGAGCCCAAGTCCCAGGAGCCTGCCGTCCTGTGGGGAGAAACATGTAAACAGGTCCTTATGACACAGTGCAAGAAGTGCCTGTGCTGCACATAACCACGTGGGAATTAGGTAGTCTTGGGGAAGTCACGCAAACCTCTCTTCTCAGTTTACCCATCAGCAAAATGGGTGTAATCATAATGTCTGCATTAGAGAGCTGTGAGAGTAAAATGAGATGGACCACACTAAGTGCTTAAGAACAACACCCAGCACATCCTGAGTGCCATTCCATGCTGATGATAGCTAAGTGGTAGCTGGGAGTCTCCCTAGTGAAAGATGGGAAGCAATTGTGGGTTTTTTGACTTTGTTTTTGCAGTTCTGAGAATCAGATCCATGGCCTTGTGCATGCCAGGTGAGCTCTCTACCACTGAGCTATACTCCTAGCTCTAGGTTTTAAAAAATAGCCTTTTTGAGATATAATTCATATCCTATATTATTCACCGAAGTGTATATGCTCTCCACAGTACATAACTTTGTAATAATGTCATTTTTTGTGGTGTTGAGGATCAGACCAAGGCCCCCATGCATGCTAGTGGCCAAGGGCTCTATTCCTGGGCTCTATTCCCCAACCCTAAAAAATTATTTTTACTGATACATAAAAACATAAAATCTGCGCATATTAATGGGAAACCACATTATGTTTCAATACATGCACACACTGTATCATGTTTAAATCAGGTCAAACATATCTATGTCCTCAAATAGCTGTCATTTACTTATGATGGGAGCTTTCATAAGGCTGGCTTTCAACTCTTGGGGATGTATAGTGCGTCACCCCTGTCTGTAATCACCTGACTTTGCAAAAGAATTCTAGAACTTCTTGCTCTTCCCTAACTGGAACCTGCGCCCATTGGTCAACTTCTCCCTGCCCCACCCTCCTGCTGCTTCTCCACAGCCTCTGGTCACCACCAACCTCCTGGGAATGTCTACAAGATCAGCCTTTTCATGTACCAGGTGAGAGTGAGATCGCGTGGCCCTCACCTCTCTGTGCCTGGCTTTTCCCACTTAACATAATGATCTCCAGTTCCATCTGTCCTTCCACAAATGACAGGATTTTATTCTTTTTTTAAATGCCTGAATAGTAATCCAGTGGCTTTTAGTGTCCTCACAGATAGTTGCAGCTTAACTACAGTCAATTTTAGGACATACTCCTCACCTCCAAAAGAAACCTTGTACACTGTAGCTGTCGCTGTCCATACCTGATCCCTCCCAGCCCTAAGCAAACATGAATCTTTCTGTCCCTATAGATATGCCTGCTTTGGACACTTTGTAGAAGTGGAATCAGGTTACAGGTGGCCCCTTGTGCGTGACTTCTCTCACTTAGTATGGTCTTCGAGCCTCCTCCCTGTGGCAGCCCGAGGATGTGGGGTTTGGGGCTAGAGAGGAGTGCGGCCGGGGTTCCATATGTTGGCCAGTCTGGAGCAGGGTGAGAGGAGGCGAGGAAGGGAATACACCTGCACTTGGTATGAAAATATAGGCTAGAGGTGAAGAGGTTTGGACCAGGTCATGGGAGGGGGCATGGTCATGGGAGGGGTTTCTTCTAGAAACCTTCTAAGAGTTTGTTACATTGACTGTTCACTTTTTTTTTTTTTAAGTTTCCTTGAGTGGCAAGCTGCTTGTTTTGAGGGAATTAGGAGGTAGGGCTGCCTAGCCCCAGACTCAGAAGTGAGTGCACCTCTTTTAGACTCAGAGCTTGTGCCAGGCCTTTGGGAAGCAGATGGCTAATATAAGTGGGTGGGCTGCTTGTTGTGACAGAGTGTGAGAGTGCAGTGGGAGCTAGGGCAGTGCAAGACTTGCTCTAGGAATTTAAGTTCTAGTTTAAGGGTTCTAAAGAGCCCCAGAAAAATTTCAGGCAAAAGTACGCTGTAGTCAGTTCGTATTTTAGGATTAATACTCAGCTGCATTGTGGGAAATGAGCCACAGTAGGGAGACCCATGTCCAGGCAGGAATGATGAAGGGCTGAATTCAGCAGTGGGTCCAGAAGGAAGGGCAGTGGTCAGGAGGAGGATACCCAGGAGCTTCAGACTCCTGGGTATCCAACTCAGAAAGAGTGGAGCTCAGGTCTGTAATCTCAGCACTCGGGAGGCTGAGGCAGGAGGATCACTGTGAGTTTGAGGCCAGCCCAGGCTACACGAGCAAGTTCAAGGCCAGCCTAAACTATATAGTGAGACCTTGACTCAAAAAACAAAACAAAACAAACAAATAACAAAACAAAAAAAAACAAGTGGATCGTCCTAGAGGGAAATCTGGGACCTACACCACTTAAACGGTGGCAGGCTGGTGGTAGACAGAATGGGGTTTTGAAAAGGAGATTCTGGGATGTGAGAAGAAAACTAGTAAGGAGGAAGAGGAATCTGAAGAAGAAGGGATGGAAAAAGCTGGTGGAGAGGTCGGGCTCAAGGAGGACAGGAGTGTCTGGTGGGTTGGCCATCTGTAGATCTCTGGGCCCCTTGGAGACAGAGAGGCCTAGACCAAGGGAGGGTGACTGATGGGGTGAGGTCTCTGATGAAGAGAGGCCATGAGGGCTGAGGCAGGAAGAAAGATTCAGAGGAAAGGGAATTGCATCATCCCCTACAGCTTCCACGCTACCAGGGATGTGGACGGCAAGGTCCTTTGCTGAGAAATGGGGGCCTGGTGGCAGCGAGGGAGGGGAGATGGCCAAGGACAGACAGCCCAGTGGCCAGTGGGCTGTGCTGAGGCTGGAGACCACGGAGGGGGGCTGTCCTCAGCCTACAGAGTGATGTGGTGTTCTCCAGCTGTAAATGTAGGCTTGTGACACGGGCACGCATTGGGTCAACCCAAGGGTGGAGAATGGCATGGTTGCCATGACAACAGGACCTGATGCCATAGAAAATTCAGGCATGGGTGACTGAGATGACGCACAGAAAGATAGGGCTGGATGGGGGGCAAGTAAGGCCAGGACAGTGGTGACAACCTTTCAGGGGAGGCAGAGGTCATGGGTGAGAGCTGTAAGCATAACGGGGTGAGAGAGATGCTGGGGAATGAGGTTTCGGAGGAGGGCCAGGTGGGCAATGGGAAGATGTCGAATGCGCAAGGGGAAACAGCAGAGGCCCAGAAGAGGGAAGTTGAGGGAGCCCAATGTTGAGGAATAATATTACTGACCTCATTAAGTGCTTCCTAAGTGTTAGGCACAGCTCCAAATTCTTTACATGTACTATCTCATTTAACCCTGACTGTCATCCCTACAAGATCCCAGCATTGTTATTATTCTTATTGTACAATTGAGAGGACCGAGGTGCAGAGACATGAAGAAACCTGCTTGGATGTGGGAAACCCGGGATTGGAGCCAGCCTGGCTGCCTAGAGTGAAAGCCCTCGTTCCACCCATCACACTGCACTGCTCTGTTAGGAACCAGGGGGGCTGGGG